TGTTAGATAAAGATGTATGGAAAGACGACATGGCTCCAGAATCCACAAAAATTTGATTCAAAGTGTATTCCATAGCATTTAAGTTTATTTGAAAAGAGCAATCCCTAGAGTTTCTTACTCGTTCTTCTCAGGGAGGTCAGCGTAGCGAACGAGCAGTAGCTTAAATGTGACGTTTTGAAGTGTAAATTTATTTTACCTATGGAATAAATAATCTTTGACTTTGACTTTGAAATGTTTTCAAGTCTTTACTTAAGTTCGGTGCCTTTGAGTGCGTTTGAGTGCCTTTGAGTGTGTTTGAGTGCGTTTGAGTGCCTTTGTGCGCTTTTCAGTGCGTTTGAGTGCCCGCTTTCAAAGCCCGCGAGTGCCTTTAAGTGCTTTTCGGGGCCCGTGAGGGCTTTTGAGTGCCTTTGTGTGTCTTTGAGTGCGTTTGAATATCTTTGAGTGCCTGTGAGTGCAAAGGCACGCGAGGGCTTTCAAAGGCTCTCAAGACACTCAAAGGCACTCAAAAGCACTCAAAGGCACTGCAGTCTCTCAAACGCACTCAAAGACCCTCAAGTTTAGCTTATTATCAGGCGCACGACTTGTTTGTCCCGTCAATAGATATAATAAAAAAAGCACCCTGGCGTACCTCGGGTGTCTAGCCACCTCGGGTATATATTGAACCGTTTTAGTCCCTCGATAAAAAATATACTATTCTGTCAAGTAATTTTAAGACACCATGCAATTGTCTTGACTCAATAAAGGTTTTTATTATTATATGTGTATTAATTAATTCTTCTTTTCCAGAGAGATCCTAGCAGCGACTCCTGCGCTGACCACAAGTCATTCCGTTGCCGCCACTCCCACGCACCGGAGGGACTTCAAACGGGACTCCGTAAAGGAGGACAGGTACTCATGAAATGTTCCGTAACTGACTGATTTTATTAAAATAAAAAAGTACCCACAAGTTTACACTAAATTAAGAGATGCGGCTCGACGTCATCCAACAAGATGGAAATCATGGTACCATGAGTTTTGAATTTAATTCTAAGGTTAATATAATTATGTATATTTATACGGGCAAACTAAATCTTAGAGTAAATAAACTGTAATGCCACATTCATGATGCTGATGAAACCCGAGAACCTAAACGGTTTCAGCTTTCTAATTTGTGATTTCAGCACAAACCAGAGCTGATATTTAAAAGTGATATAAGGCTCATTTGCCTGATTAGTTGCCAGGGATGGATGGCCCTTATTTCGTCTCTATTTCTGGTTATATACTCGATGATTGTCGTCCATATAAAAACACGGAATTAGACATGCCGCTGTTCCGATCCGATTCGCGCCCGACCTGCACTCATTCTCTGTGTATTTCACGCTTTAGTCGGATAGTGGGAATTGCGATATATGTATTCTTTATAATAGAAAAAAAAACCACCAACAATAATCCATCCATTCCTTTTCTGCTTTCAGAGGTTCCCTAAAGCACGACTTGAGAAAAGAGAGCGGCAAACGTATAGACCAGGGAACACAGAGTCCGTTACGGGATAGCTCCAAAAGAGACGTCAGAATGAACGAGCCTAATAGACAAGTGGTAAGCTTTGTTTTATCTGTATAGTCAGGGTGCAATACGGTACAGTGGAATCTCAGTAATCCGAAATTATTGGACCACACCCTTTTCGTTTCGGATTACCCTTCAAACCTGTTATACCGATAATGGTAGGAATGGCACTAGTTGATCCCAATTATACCATTGGATAACAACATAATGGTATATAATCTCAGTACAGAGTACTAAAAAAACCGACCTCAAAAGTACGTGGAATTACGTCTATTTGCTAAGTTTTATTGAAATATCCCCTAGTTCGCCACTATACAGGACTTGGCTGGAGATAATAAAAATAGGTTCTCACTACGACACTACTCAAAGTTATTGAGAGAAAAATGCCTTGAATGGAAGAAATAGCAAAATCAACCATTAAAGTAATTGCTCCTAAATTAAAGTTAGGCGCTATTTATAAAAATGAATCTTCATGCGTGAAGAGCCCCCTTCGAGGTAGATGATTTTCTTCAAAATGAAATGGGACCACTATGAAAGTACCCCCTTTTTTGCAACAAAAAAAGAATCATGAAAATCGGTTCACAAATACCGGAGTTATCGCGTAACATACATACAAAAAAAAAGAACATACAGTCGAATTGAGAACCTCCTTCTTTTTTGAAGTCGGTTAAAAATAGTATTTACTTGTCCCACTTATACAATTAAGAATATTATTGGAACAGGTTGAGACCATTTATACCATTGGATTATATCATTAATGGTATTAACTTGTCCCATTTATACCTGTAATGATATGATTACTAGTTGATCCCATTTATACAATAAGATAATTATACAATTGAAAGTGTAAGTAAGACAGATTGAGACCATTTAATACCATTAAATTATATCATTTTTGAAGTAATTAAATCATTATGGAAATAAAATTACATATAGTATTATTATGTGTAATTATAAGGTTTATTTTATAAAATCAGCCTAAACAAAGAAATCTTCTGATCAAGTTTTCCTACTGGATTCGAGTTGCAGTTGTTTTTTATAATACGTAGTGACGGAACGAACAAGTCGTACACCTGGTGGTAAACGACACGCCGGTCCATAACAATTGTAGTGTCACTCAGAGCTTTAACCCATATATGCCCTAGTAACTATTTTAGTCTTCGATTTTTGTTATTTTCGAATATATTAGAGTAAATATGAATAGAAATGGATCTGAATTATCAGTTTTGTGAAAAAAGTACCGGAAAATTGTTTTTAGAGCTGGGTCAGTAACGACCCACTGGGCACATACCTACCCTTTAGAAGTTTAATGAGAATTAAAATTAATATATATCAAAGTGAAAATAGCTTTATTGTAAAATCCAACTATTGAAACTTTTGATGGAATAGAGCAAAACATTTATTTTGTCGTGTAAAACAATGCCACATTTTTTTACACGAACTCACAAACTCACAGACGGTATGGGGCCCCTTAGCCTACGGAGAGACGTTGGCTCTCTGTGTGTGTTCTACCGTCTTTATAATCTAAAAAAAAGATGATGATGCAGTGTCAACCCTCTGCGAAGTTTTATTTTCAATTATAAAAAAACATATTACGATAATTTACACCACAGCTTTATCTCAGAGCGATTACACGTGGCGACTTTTAGTAGCGATGCAAACGCGATGCAGTCGCTAATTACCTACCTTTCCACGAAAGTTGTGCGACGCAACGAGGCGGTGTGCGAGGAAAAATCCACCAATAGGATTACTTCATTTTGCTAGCCTCGCTTGGCGCAGCTGCAGTGGAAAAGGGTTAGCGCAGCTAAATATTAGTACATACAAAATAGCGAGATATGTGTGCGAGGGATGCGGGCTAGGAATGTGTGCAAAATCTGTTGTCTCCTTTAAACTAGCTCTTAAGAAGTTTACTCAATTATCTCACGACACAGGGTAATAGTGATTTGCATAGAAATCGATCAGAGATGAATTTGCACGACATACCAACACCGAAAACCAGGAAACATTTATAAAAACTACACGTGATTACACGTTTCTAGTTTTTGTATTATTTTTATTACCTATTTTTATTGGGATTAGTTTATAATTTTTATTATTTTAAATTTTTATTTTTAATCTTTTAAACTCTATTTTTTAATTTTGCCTTCTACTTGGAGGCGCTATCGTTCTTTTTCTCCATTTATGGCTGCACTGAAAACCAGCATAATGAGGCGTCCTCCAACGCCTCGTTACAAATAGCTGAGTGGTGACCATTTTGGAAACACGTAATTGCGTCTGCTTTATGTTAAGTCCTTTGTCTAATTTATTTTGTCATTTTGTTTTGTCTTTTTCTTTCTTTCAAAACGGTGTAGGAAACTAGAGCTACTGAAAGTATGACACTAACACATCGCCACCGTCTTCCACCTTCCATCCTCTAAGATAGATCATCTACTACACCGTACCCCGCCCGCGCATATTTGAAAAGATTCCATAACGCATCCTCGCACCCCCTAACTACCTCGCACAGCTTTGGTGGAAAACATCACATCGTTTCACAGCGCCGCTACATATCCTCGCACCGCCTCGCTACCTCGCACATACCTGGTGGAAAGACAGCCTTAAGCAACGATGCAAACGCGCGTTTGTATCGATGCAGTGGCGCGCTTGCATCTGTTCGTTTGTTCGTGAAACACGCAATTGCTCTCTTATTCCTGAAATATACTAGGTTTACATCTTTTCTTTTTTAGTACATAGCATCATTCGATGAAGAAGGTGAACAAGCTCCAGGTTGGAGAAGAGTCGGTCCTGAAGGTCTGGTGAACCTGGAGAAGGTCTACAGAACCCAGGCAGTCATGGACCACATCGCCAGCTTCCATCAGCACCATTACGCGTTGGCTAGAAACGCTACTCCTGTATTCGGGGATTATTTGAGGTAAATCTTCTTGTAATTAAGTTTATTAAATAACAGAATGTTTCACCAGCATGATATTCAATTACTATTTATGAAATTACTCCACTAGTTTTTTATAATTGTTAATACAAATATCGCTTAGAAAAAAATCTTTCGATCCGGCAGGATTCGAACCAAGCTTCGTCGTCTAGCAAACCGTACTAAACGCTATGCCAACTAAGCTACGGAACGAACCAAGAATTTTTCTGTGTACTTGTTGCATATCTTTGTTTTTTTGGTTTTTGAATACTTTTTGCCGTAACGTCATCGCAAAAGCATCGCAGGCAGGTAATCGCAAAGTCGACCGTAAGGTCCTAAATTATGCTCACGGGTTTTTTTTTTACATTATCGCCCTATGGATTTTTAACGTCAAGATTAAGTGGTAAAATTTAAACATATTTTACTAAATTTATTTTTCACCTCACTAGCTCGGAAAGGCTTTCTTCTTTGAAATCTGCGCGCAAAGGCGTTTTTTGCGCACTAGCGTGGAAAAGGTTTTTGAAATTCGAATTTGACGATGGACTGCGGTGCACCTAACTTTTTCTTTCGATAAAAAAAAATGACACGTTCAAATACGCGATTTGTCGTACATTACTAATTTATGTAACATAAATCCGTCGGTATATTTTATTCTTATTATTGTTGACATTAAATTGCCAATAATAACGAATACACAAAATAAAAGTACAGGGTCAAGAGCACGTCATGCTTTATACTTAAAATTTAAATACAACTCTATGCCGCTAACGATAAGAACGGTCCAAAGTACAAAGTGTCAAGCTTGATGTGCTCTTGACTATACAAGGAAGAATAAAAATTGATGAGGTATAAATTCAGAACGCATCCGAACTTAAACTTTTTCTTTTAATTTAGAAAACTGATGTTTTATAGTTGAATTGTTTTTCTTCTCTATCTACAATTTTCCGCGCTATAGTGAGGTGAAAAGTTGTGTTTCGCTCGGCAGCAAAGTTGTTTTGCGTCTCGTGTCTCGAAACCCTCGCTACGCTTGCGTCAAACAACAACTTTGCAGCCTTGCATAACAAATAACTATTGTGGATTCAAATTCTGTATATTCGGAATTTGGAAATTATCTATGTTTAAGAATACATTGTGGCTGCATGTGTCTGTGCGTTTTATAACATTTTAGTTCGTGTTGTATTATCTATGGAAGAATAGCTGACAATCTGTTAAAAAAATATCAAAAACCCCGCCATTTGGAAAATTCGTAAATGTTGTGTTGTATTTATATCATACAAGAAATAAATTAACTTTGTATCTATTTCCTCGCAAATGTATGTATGTAGTACGGGCGGAAAAAATTACAAACATCCCGTCATTAAAGCCTAACGGACTTCGTTAGTAAATCTCGTTAGTACATACGGCCCTTAATACACAATGTACTATTGCATGCTCAAAAGGCATTACATTGAGTGATACAAAATGATTCATAATAATTGCAGATTTTTTTCAACCTTGTAGCTCACGACCATCGAGTATATAACCAGAAATAGAGACGAAATGTCATTTAATTTGTTTGAAAACTATTCTGCCATATCATTACTGTGACAACTGCGCTCCGGTTGGCCAGCCCGAGTTCGAAACAATTGACGGGTGTCGTCAATTGTTTCACTTCAAAAAGACCAGTCAACTTGAGCTTTGCAATAATGGACGAAAATTGCAAAATTACATATTTAATATTTAATTACCGATGAAAATTGACTCCGTTTGTTTTGTAAATAGATGTTTTGCTGTTTTCCCACACCACCGAATGAAACAGCACGCCATTGTTAGAGATATTATCTTTATTACAATAAATACAGAATATTTTTGGAATATACGGAGACTACACACAGGTCAGTTGTTGGCGCTGTCTATATTTCAGTACAAACGAGAGTCGATATTTACAAGTGATGTATCACTGATGAGTTACCACGAATGTATGTCCCTTATTTCATCTCTATTTCTGGTTATATACTCGATGCTCACGGCACATACAAGCTGGTTGTATACAACAGTACGGACTAATCATTGCATTGACTTACAATTATATGGACGTCGGGTCCGCGCTAAAAAGTGTCCGCACTTGTAAGACGCTAAAATCGTATACAGAGCGCCAAACTCCGCTTTAGTCTTCATTTGTTCTACTGACACGCGATACTGCGATGACATTACAATTTAAATTTCGAATAGGTTGACTTGGGACATTTTTTTCGTGGTTTTTGTATTAGACCCGTCGTCCATTTATTTGTAAGTCAATGAATCATTGCAGTAATTGAAAAAATAGTTTCATTTCCTCTGTGTAACAATCGCGAAAACCTAACAAGGTGGCAGACAAGAACAGATATAATCATTGTAGAGTAAACGAATTGATAAAAGGTCAATTAGACAACGTACACCGCAATTTAGCAGTTATAGGTTTATATATAGGCCGTGTAATAACCGAGCACAGCAAATTTTGCCTCCCAGCTCCGTGCAAAATCAACACTGCCCGAGCAGTGCTGACTTTGCGATCCCAGCGGACTTTGCTCGTGGCTTAATAAATCGTGGAAAGGTGGTATTTTATTTTTGTCACTTACTTTTGTTGTTAACCGACTTCAAAATAAGCAGGATGTCCTCAATTCGACTGTTTTTTTGGATATGTTACGCGATTATTCCAATATTGATCTCGATGTTCTTTTTTGTTCGAAAGGGGGTAACTCAAAAGCTTGAGTGACGGGACGAACAAGTCATGTGTCTGGTGGTAAGGTACAGGAGCACTGCCACTGGGCCCGTCATCCGTCACAACAAAGAGTATATCGAGAGCGTCATCTGTACCGCGTCGCGCAAGCTTGGCATCCTGAACAAGGTGCACCGATTTTTTACTCCAGAGCTGCGATACCTGTTGTATAAAGCTCAGATCCGAAGCAGCATGGAGTACTGTTTGCACCTTTGGGACGGCTCTGCCAAGTACTTGCTCGATGCTCTAGATGGACTGCAGCACTACGCCTTCCGTGTTGTCAACGATCCTCGTGTAACTGAGCATGCGGAGTCGTTACAGCTTCGCAGAGATATAGCGTCTCTTAGCGTATTCTATCGCCTGTACCACGGTGAGTGCTCTGAAGAGTTATTCAACCTTATCCGTTCCTCTCCTTTCCATCAGCGGACCACCCGTGCCGGACTGCGTTGCCACAGATGGACGGTCAGTTCAATACCGTCCCGCACTAAAAAGTTTGGCAATTCGTTTTTATGCCGAGCCATCAAATTGTGGAACCAACTCCCGGCGCATGTATTCCCTCCCCTCTATAACATCGGGTCCTTCAAACGTAGTGTGAAGAAGCATTTGGCCAGACCGGCAAAATGATAGTGACGGAGTGAAGATATTTGAGTTTTCCATCCGTTACTCTCATCTCTGGACTGTATTCGCACTTTCCATCAGGCGCGGTGCAGTCATTTTGTCGAGTCACAATAAAAAAAAAAAACCCTGAGACAAGTTGACGAGTCCCATGTGCCTGTAATGTTACCAGCACCCTTCAAAACCGGAACACAGTAATGCTGATATTACTGCTTGGCGGCAGAAATAGGTAAGGTGGCAGTACTTCCCTGGGCGAACACTTTCACTAGGAACTCTACTGCTAATAGATTACATCTATGTGCCAAATTTGATTGAAATCGGTTAATGGAAAATGGGTGAAAGTTAATAAACCGGATTCAGCCCCTAATTTGCTACCCTTAGACGTAGAATATTTTCTTTAAATTTCAATTAGACCACTATTGTGGTACCCTCTGTCGAACAAAAAAGGGATCATCGAAATCGGTTTCAAAATATCGGCGTAATCGCGGAACATGCACACAAAAACATTCTCACAGATTCTGTAACAAGCACGTAGAAAAATTTGTTACGTTCGCCAGTTCGTTCCGTGGCTTAATTGGCACTATTGGCATAGCGTCTGGCACGGTTTGCTAGAAGACGTTGGTTCGAATCCAGTCGAATCGATGGAATTTTTTCTAAGTGTTGGATTTTTGTATTAACTAGTGGAGTCATTTCGCAGTATCATGGTGGTCAAAAGCAGAAAATATTCTTCATCTTTATCTTTAAAATTTGTGCATTTGACCTCAATCTCACCTGATAGAAAGTGACTAAAAGGTCGACGATGGAGCATGCACACCTATATAATGCCTATTCACTCTCGCCTTGAAAAAGTCCAAGTTATAGAGTTCGAGGAACAAATCTATCTCTAGCCACTAGCCATATAAATGTGGAAGCGAAACGGTGCGTCCCCACGTCTAGCCGGTGTTCAAGGCTCTGCAGCGTCGCCTCTACTAATTCCAAGTCACCTATAAGCCTCTTGGTACGCTTGTCGATTGAATCCAAGGTGGCCAGTTGTGTAGAAAATAAAACGTGGCTGCTGTTGGTGTCACACTGGCCGCCGCTCCGCTATCCTGCCACGAACTACGCTTGGGACTGCTGTGTGTCACGCCCGGTACATATTCACTTTCCGTAGGACCGCTTTTCACGCTGTACCGCCTCTATGTCACCTGAGCCTAACAACACTTAAAATTGCAAACGGGAATTTGTGGGTTGTGCCGTATGGACAGCTATATACCGCACTTTCGAAAACAAAAAAATTTTGACAACAATCCCGGGCCATTTTGTTAATATTTCGAAAGTCATATGCAAACTCAATTATATTTATTTGATTTAAAGATATCTCAAGAACACAAAGAAAATAAACCAGGAACGGCAAGGCTGAGATTTATAAAGCGAACCTTGATTTCGGATAAACAATACAAAATTATTATCATCATATCAGCCGGATAACGTCCACTGCTGAACATAAACCTCCCCCAAAGATTGCCAGACTGACCGGTCGTGCATCCATCGGCTACCCGCCGCCCTTACCAGGTCAGCTGTCTGTCGGCCGTTTCCTCACGCTCCTACCGGTAGGACCAAAAAGATAAATTTGTCCTCGTGCTCCTTTTTTTTATAAAAATAAGTGCGCATT